GACACGTGCGAAGAAGCAGGCACCGACGCGGAGTCAACCACGGGCGTTGGCACGGGTGTTGGCGTCGACACTACGGTCGACGCAGACACTGGCGATGACATTGGTGTTTGTTGTGCATTTCGAAATGAGCGCAGCATTCTCGCGGAGGTTTGACGGATTCGTCAAAGCTTGGATTGACGTGTTGTGACCGGCACGTCAAATCTTAACGGGGGGTGTAACGGGGTTACACAAAACTCTAACCGCGACGTTAACCGGTTAGAGTTAGAGGTTTCCTATCTTGGTGTGTAAGCACATCAAGATTGCATTTAAAGGGATCCTATTGGTAGAGTGCGCCACACCTCTACCAATCAGCGATGCGGATCACTGTCAGCCACTCGCTGACAGTCCCGTAGATATTTGATAATCAGGAAACACTTTAAACAAAAATAACAGTTCTCATTTTACGCTATCTTATTCCTATCTTCTCTAACTTTACACACGCATCGTGTGTACACTATAGAACTTATGAAAACCTACGCTTCTTCCTACACGTGCGCACACGTGTAAGCTAACTAGTGAGCCCTAGGCCCATGTGCCGAACGAGGCCACAAGCTATGAAGTCCCCGCGTGCTGAAGGCCGCGGAAACTCAGTTCGAATAGCGCTGGCAGTGACGCGATGCAGAGGCCGAAAAGGCGAAAGAGTCCTGGGCAACCAACCTGCAGAAGAGCCTGAATGACCAGTGGGAATCCGTGATGAGTGCTCAGATGCAACGTCTGCAAGAGGAGATCACCTCCTTGAAGGAGACGCGCAATCAGAACCAGAAGGCTATTCAAAGGTCGAAAAACGTTCGCGGAACAGGTTCAAGCAACACTCGTGCAGCATCGACAGAAGTTCAACGTGTCCGTTCGACAGTGTACCCACGATCAAGTAACGCAATAAAGGATGACGCAGTACATAGCCAGGACACATCTGGCGACAGTGCCTTTGCCGCTCAGCTCCAACTGACGCTCCCGAGTGTGACTGAAACAAGGTATGAGAAGGGAGATGTCCAAATAAATAAGGAACAAGGATCCAGGATTGCAAAGACGAGAGGTTCCCGAGTGAAGTCACGACAGACGAAAGCAAAATCGACGGGAGCTGCGAGGTCGGAAGACAATGAGCCGCCTAAGAAGGAACCACGCACGAAGTCTTCACGCCGGGATGATAATCCCTCAGGACCCAGCTTGAGTGGCGAGTCTAGCGAGGAAGACGATAGTCCAAGTGACTCCGACAGTTCGTCGGACGGCAGCCCCCATACGCGACCATGGTTATCAACGCTAAGGGTGGGAACATGCTCACTCTCAGGACATTTACCAATTCAGTGGACGACTTCGACGTGAAGCAGTCCTGACGGCAAGACGCCGATGGCGGGAGAAGTTCCTGAACATGACGATCCAGGCTTGTTGGACTGATCAGGTGACGATATATGAATTCAAGACGAAGATGTCGCTCGCCCCCCCCCGAAACTGCATGGGCCAGCTAGGGAAACGTGTGTGCACGAATTGGGGGCGCCTGGCTCGAGAGTTCAAGCGCGAATATTGCAAGTCCCGGGGGTCTGATTCGGAGAAGTACTACACGATGAAGCAGCACAAGGATGAAACAGCTCAGGCGTTCCTGTACCGCCTGGACCTGGCTGCTGAGCGAGCGGATGTGGAATTCAGGAAGTCGACGTGCACAACACATCAAGGGGTTCATCAAGAACCTGACGGACATGTCGCTCAGGTCGACATTGCAAAGTGTCCGACCTGGAGTACGTTCTAAAGCAACAAGAAGAAGTGAACGCGAGCGGAAGCTATTCTACTCGGCCGCCTCCCAATCGTGACTTCAGAACAGACAACGTCGCCCGAGGTGGAATGCGACAGCGGAACTCGAACCGAGCTAATGTCGCTCAGGATGATGAAGATGTGGACGTCGAGCAGTCAGCACAGATTGAGCAAGACGTGGACGAAAACGATGTTGCCTTCCAAGATCTGCCCACCACGATTCGGGATGCCCATATTTTGGACAACTCGAATGGAGCGTTCCTGAGCAGGGAAGATCTAATTCACGAGGTTTATCGAATCATGAACAAGGTGGGATGGAAGCCGGCAAACTCGAATGCCAGAAGTGGTTCGAGTGCTAATCCCAGACCACCGGTGCCGCCGCTTGCGCAGCCAGCTGCGTTTCAGGGATACCAGAATTACAACAACCCGGATCGATTGGAGTTTTGTGAGCAATGCAAGAAGTTTGGACATCGCCCGGAGAAGTGCTGGACTGACATGATATGTGGACAATGCCACAGACGTGGACACCCAACGCGAAGTTGTATGACTGGTAAGAAGTGGTGTCTGAAGTGTGAAGAATATCACGATGGGCATTGCGACGAGTGGAAAGCTTTCCACAAGATCAAAAAACTCGTTCTTCAAGGAGGCCTAGCTGACCTGCCTAGCCATGTTCGGGAAGACATCCTGAATGGCAAGGACGATTCTGGGGAAGTGCAGTTAAACCACTAAGCCCGCCGAATGGGGATTCGGTACGCGTCGGGCAGAGAGAACCCTCAGAATTGTGTGTGTTAGCGTATAGCGGCCCCGAGTTGAGGACCAAGAACCGAGATAACCCACAATGTATGACCGCCATGATTCATGATGAACCTGTTCCTTTGGATATTCGACAAAGCGTTTCAGGACAGTCATTGCCTCCAGAACGCGAAGGTATACCTGAATTCAAGTTAAACCCCGGGGAGCGGTATGGCTGGTGGGTCGAGAATGATCGTGAAGAGGAAAGACGTCAGTGTGCTACGATTCATGGAGCAGTGAACAATTTCAGGACGCAGATATTACTTGACACAGGAGCGACTGTGAGTATGATCAGTTTGGATCTTGCGCGTAGGATCAAAATCAAGTTAAATTCACAGAATCGGATCAAGGTGTCAGGAGTAGGTGGCGTCTCGAGTTATATCACTTCGAGTGCACAGATCAAGATCATTTTGGGATGGTGAGTTGTGTATGTCATGGACGTCTGGGTTACGAACATCGGCGAAGGAGTAGATGTACTCTTAGGAATGGATTTCATGTTCAGTGCTGGAGTACGTCTAGGCATTCGTGAAGAAATGGTAGGTCTCCCGGATGAAGAATCTATTTTGATGTACGGGTATACCATACGGAGGCTTGAATACCGGGATATCCCAGTCTGCCCCCTTCGAGGATTGCATCTGCGACCCGGAGAACACGCAAATGTGGCCATCCGATATGGACAGTGTCATCCGCTTCAAGATGTTGTATGGGTAGGACGAGGGGCCCAATGGGTCACCCAGATCGTTTACGGCGCACGATCGAGGGCTGTAGCGATAAAAGTGGTCAACATTTCGGACCGATATTGCTGGATCGAGCCTAGGACACCTGTTGCTCGGATTGCGAAGTATGGGAATATCCCCATAGTTGGACAGTTCGTGCGCCCTGGGCTACGAAGGTATATGGAATGGCAACAGAATATTCAGGAGAACACATTGTCCGCGAAGGCCAGGGCACGTCAGGAAGCATATGAACAGATGCTTCGGGACACAGCTCCGCCCGCAGTTATGGTTCCTCAATACGAATGGCCAACAAAATTACTGGTGAGGCCAAAGGAACCCGAGCGAGCCCAGGTTACGAAGATTGTGGAAGAGTTGCAACCGCATAGAGACACCGATGGCGTGGAATCAGCTGAAGATGCTACACTTGGGGCATGCTCCCCGAGTGTGATTGGCTCACTCAGGGCTGTTGAAGTTTCAACTGAACTTGTCACCCTGGATGTCAACACCCAGGATGGCGGGGGGTTGCCAATTCGGTATCCTGAGGAGAAGTCCTAGACGTGCTGGCTCAGAGATCTGAATGCGACATACTTCAGGATGATCCGAGAGCGGAAGACGAGGATGTCGAGTTACCTTCTTCTGCCATGCCTCGAACACCACTCGCAAGACTTGACGCGGCATATGCCAGGTGTATGCGAGTGAGCGCTGAAGAACACGATTTGGAACCCGCGGTTTATTTTCACGAAGGGAGTGAGCTTATGTCTCAGTTGAAAGATCAGTTGGTCATGCTACCTGATTTGGAGGACATCTCTCCTGAATGTGATATCGAGGCTGCTGACGTTGGAGAACCTGGTGAGAGCACAGAAGCTCAGGAGAAGCAGTTGAAGGCCGTCCTGAAAAGGCACCAGAAGATCTTCTTAGGTGATGGAAATGCTGCCCCGCCGCCGGCGAGAGATGTCATCTGGGATCTAGACGTGGGCGACGCCAAGCCAGTGGTACAACGACCCCGATCGGTCGGTCCGCATTTGGCAATCAAGGTGTACAAGTTATTGAAGAAGCCTCTGGAAGCTACACTGATTGAACACTCTGAATCGCCATGGGCATCCCCAGTTGTGATCGTGCTCAAGAAAAACGGAGTGGATATTCGAATGTGCATCGACTATCGGGTCGTGAATAGCTTCATTCAATTGTCTAATTACCCTCTGCCGCTGATCGATGACCTCATTACTGGTTTAGAAGGAATAATGTGGTTCATGAGTCTTGATATGACGAGTGGTTTCTGGGCAGTCCGAATGACCGAGAGGGCCAAGCTGATCTCGGCATTCACCTGCCCATTCGGGCATTTCCAATGGGTACGTATGTCATTCGGGTTGAAAAACGCCCCACTAATTTACCAACAGATGATCAACAATTGCCTATGGGGATTTGTGCGATTACCACCCGAAGAAGAAGCACTTGTGGATCAGGATGTGCTAGACTACTTGAAGTTGGACCCTCAGTCGCCGAGTGATAAAACGGATGTGGAACGTAGTATGACACCGCTAGTGGAGCAAATGACGGTTTTCAGGCGTATCATTCCCGCGCCATCCCAAATGGGGTCAGTCTTGGGGTGCAGTTTGTATATTGATAACATCGCTCATGGGGCGGCCACGTGGGATCAACTATGCGGTGATCTAGATGCATTGCTCTATCGGTTACGGTACTGGAGCATCTCAGTTAGCTTGTCCAAGAGCGAGTTCGGGAAGCGTGTCATACCATACCTTTCTCACCAGATTGGTACTGAAGGGATACGCGCCACCCCGAAAATCGTAAAAGGCATTCAGGAGCTACCATTTCCGTCTACCCTGAAAGGAGTCCAGTCATTTCTAGGCAGCCTGAACTACTACCACAAATTCATTGAGGATTATGTCGTGGTAGCTGCCTCACTCTATGAGCTGACAGAAGATCAAGTGCGCGCAGGACGAGATTTGTCTCGAGCGAAGGAATCTTTTGAGATTCTGAAGAGGAAGATAGTATCTACACCTCTCCTCAGACATCCGGATCGAACAAAACCTTTCGTGATCATCCCTCATGCGAATCAGTGGACTGCTTGTGCAGTTTTGGGACAGATGCATGATGGACTTGTCTCAATCTATTCGATTCACGGGGCGCGTCCTGAATGACGCCGAGCTTATATATCATATTGCTGAGAAGGAAGTTCTCGCTGTGATGCGAGTTCTCCATGTGTTCAAGAGCCTGATCGAAAGATGTCTGTTGATAATCTACACTCGACATTCAGTGTTGAAGTGGGACATCAATTCCAAGACCACCGAAGGCCGTCTGGTGCCATGGGGCGTTGCTTTCTCACAGTACGACTTAGAAATCCGGAAGGGTTGTCGAGATGAGGATGGTTTAGCCGCCATTATGGGTGTAGGTATCACTCCCAGGGACCACTTGGATAAAGTCGCCGAAGTACTCATCCCAGCCAAGGGGTGGGTCAAATCGCCTCTGTCGAAATGCTCTCAGAAGGGTACTCCGGGGTAGTCCTGAGTTTCGATGGTGCGGCCAAAACTTCCACGAGGAAGGGTAGCTGCGGATGCATTCTGTGGCAGCTACCTGAATGGAAAGTTTTGGATGCTCGAGGAAACATCCTGGATGAAGTCACCGTCAACGACGCGGAATATTTCGGATTGCTTAAAGGGATTGCAATGGCTTTGGAAGGAGGGATTCAGGACATAGTTGTTGTGGGTGATTCGAGAATTGTGATTCAACAAGTCCAAGGCCTGATTAATTGTAACCAACCTAATCTCCAAAGGAGGCTAGTTGAATGTGAAACTCTGAAGAAGCGTTTCCAGACGATCCGATTGGTACACATGAAGCGCGAGTTCAACCAGGCCGCAGATTACCTGACCTCGAAAACTCTTGTCCAAGGTGAATCCTGGACTGTTCAGGATGACCTCGAGAAACGACACCTGGAAGTAGTGTCTAAGATTCGCGAGCTGTTTGTGAAGCCGTCGGAAGGCACTAACACTCGAGCTCACAGTGGAGACCCCATACAAGACTCTGGTGAAGAAGATGGCGATTCAGGAACGAGACATGGTCCTGGTCCTGAATGTGCACCTCTATCTTCTGCCGCCCGAGTCATGGCTGTACTCACGAGATCGCGAGCCCAAGAAGTTGATGAGGGCAACGTTCCGCCCATGGGACCACTAGAATTTCAGGCCGAACGCTGGAGACGGATCAAGGTTCATCAAGAGGATGATGAGTATCTAGCAGAGATCAGGGCGTTCCTAAATGACGACCTGGACAGGTTCTCATCCACAAGTCTGAACGAGATCAGTAAAGTCGTAGATCTGTTCGTTCTGGATGATCGAGGAATATTGCATAGACTTCCACACTCTGCTCGCAGAAGACCACGAGACGCCGTGGATAATCTGAGACTGGTAGTCCCGAGTTCACTTTGGGAAGACATGTTGCACTATGCGCATGAAGACTTTCAAGGCGGACATCAATTGATCACCCGGACTCATGAGAAGCTACGTACCGAATTCTACTGACCCGGCATGTACGCGGACGTCCAACATTTTGTAAAGGAATGTGTGGACTGAGTCAGTGGAAAAGGAGCTCCCCCAAATGCTGGACCTTCGCCAGGAAATATCGAACCACGGTATGCATTCGAGGCAGTTTCTATGGTTTTCGTGACTCACATGCCTGAGTCAGCCAGAGAGAACACGTTCCTCTTGTTGTTTCAGGACATGTTTTCAGGTTACGTGATCTGTAAATCCATGCCATCTACAACTGCTCAAGATGTCGCTGAGGCTTATGAGGAGCAAGTGTTCCAGAGATTTGGGGCGTCTTCCATGATACGTCACGATCAAGACCCGCGGTTCATGAGTGAAGTCTTCACAAGGTTCCGATAACTCTTAGGTAGCCGACAACGTTTTACACTCGGATACCGCCCACAAGCGAATGAGCAGCAGGAGAGATCTATACAAACGGTCACCCGGAGTGTTCGAGCATACGTCGCCGAGATGGATCAGTCCGATTGAGATGATCACGCTGAGCGACTGATGTTCGCCCTGAATGTCTCGTTCGACGCAACTAGACTGGACACCCCTTTCTATTTGGTTCATGGTTGGGATGCCCGAAGTACGGTTTCAGCAATGTTGGGACCAAACTCTTCTAGCGTTCCTGAACGCAGATCCTATGAGTGGCGACGGAAGCTGCAGCGGGGGTACAGCTATGCACTTGCTTGCGCTGAGGATCTCCAGAAAAAAGCTAAGAAGATGCGCTCAGACGAACAGACCCGAAAGTGGTTGAAACTCCCAGAGAGGGTCAAGACCGGCTTTGCTTGGTTGTACATCCCGAAAGCCCAAACTGGATTGAGTCAAAAGCTAGCACACAAGTGGCATGGGCCATTCAGGATCGACGAAATTCGGGATGATTTTTGCGTGAGACTGAAAGTGAAAGACACAGGCTATCGTGTTAACCCTTGGGTACACATTAGCCGACTCAAGCCGAGAGTGGTTTTCTCAAAGAGACCGACAGTCGAGGTTGACGTCGCAGATGATGATGCTTTCGATGCGGCACTATTGCCTGAGAGCCGGATAGCTCGAATGATGTGTTTGAAGTGGAATCAATTCAGGATGTACGATGGGTGAATCGCACCCGAACCGCGAGGCGATCTCGAGAATATCTCGTCAAATGGAAGGGGTATGATGACCCAGAGTGGATTCCGGTGACACAGTTCAATTGTGGATCGCTGTTGTATGAATTCAACAAAGGGCCGCGGGCACGAGCTCGTTTTCAGGCGATGCAGGCCGGGGATGACCACCCGAGAGTGTAGTCAACCCGAATGACATTACCTGAATGACACTAGACCGTGGAACTATGTGAACTGATTATGATTTTGTTTGATCCGTGAGAAGTATTGTGGAGATATTCGGGATGCCGAATGTGGAATTTACTTGACGACTAAGAATGTTGAATGTGATCTGATGAGGTGTGAATTGAAAATGATGGGTATGAGGACAATGTGGAAAGCATCGGCCGTGATGCGAAGGACACAGAAGACAGTGAACATTGAAGATGTGAATGACAGTTGTATTCTGGATGTTAACGCTAATGCTCTGACATGTAACACGCAAAATTGTTCTGGAAGAGTCAATTAGTCGAAATCCATGGTGACGCGGTTCTTCTGCGACTGGCGCTGTGAACCTTTCAAGAGCTTCAATTGATAGTCCTCCGAGAGATGCTTGATTCGGTCTTCATCCGAGGCGCAAGTGTTCCACTGGACACGTGCTAGATCTTGGTCATCTAGGAGCTCCATCTGCTCATTCAGGGTGTAGCGAGTGCCATCGTCCTTGACGTGCGACTCATGCATCAGTATCCAGTGACAGCATTTGGCAGGAATGATTCAAGAACCAGGCTCATCCAGCATCGTTTCCTCAAGACCAGCATCGACAGATCATCCAGGAGTTTGTTGTACTCTTTCTTGGCCTTGTCGCACTCAGCCTTGCGTTCGCGATGAAGTTCCACAGAGTAAGGATCATCGGTCTCCAAATCGATGAATACCCAGTGTCCGAACCATCAAATCACACGACGATGCACAGACATGAACGCCACTATGGCATCCAGAGACTCGCGAGCAACGAGACTCAGGTCCCTACGCACGTGAAGAATCAGAAACTTTAAACGATCTTCGAACATGACGTCCCAAGGTTACGTGTCCATAAGCTCCTTGAATGCGACTGGGTCCCAGCGCTCTCGTAGAGCTTGGACGTCCTCGTCTTTGGGCAAATTCGGAGCGTAGTCCGGGAACCCGAATGACTGGGTTACAGTATTAGCCGTGCCAGGAGGAAACTTCATCAATACACCGTGATGACGCCACGAAAGGATGCCACGACCGGGTACTTCGACGATCCATTTCTCCGAGTCGCTCGGGGAGTCGTAACTTTTGCGTGCCAGATCTGTTTGCTTTCGCTCTTGTCCTGGACGCGACATTTTGCCGTTGCCTGACTTGGCGCGTTTCTTGGGTGGAGATGACGCACTCTTGGGTTTGTTATTGGATGAGGAGTCAGAAGTGTAGTCCCGATCACATTTAGCTTGTCGCGGAGGAGTTGTGCGACGCTGAGGTTTGTTTTGACTGGCCCCGGGAGAAGGTTGCATCACGCCCTTCATCATCTTCCTCCTCCGTAACGCTACCATAAAGCGCGACCATGATTTCCACAGCGTCATCTTGGATGTCCTTACGCAAATTAGGCCAGCGAGTTGAAACTTCACCTGAAGTGAGAGCCTTGGCGAGCTTGGATTCGGCCCCCTTGTAACACCAACAGGGAACGTATTTGATCCAAGGAGTCTTGTCGAGGCTTTTCCAGTAGATGATGCGCACCAACATGGAGACGAGATGTCGAGCATCCAGGTGAGAGTGAATCTCAGCATCGGTCCGAGCAGCAGCAAGAGCCTCATCGTAAGACATGTGCGACCGCATGAGTTCCTGGATATCTGTTCGAAGCTTATCCCAAATGACAAGTTGAGTCAGGCCCTCGCGTGCCTTGGTGACGGAGAGCTGTTTGGCTGTCATGAGATCCAGGGTGTCAGTCGTGCTCAGGGTGTAAGTACTGGGCCGAAGCTGGAAATCCGTGAAAGCCTTGGGCTTAGACTCACCGAACAACTTGCGTTGAATCTTGGCTGGCGTAGACTCAGAAGAGGATGGTTCTGTGAGGTCCACCGTGGAAACCTTCAGGGTGACCTGAGGCTTGGGTACCTCAGGAACCTTGGATTCCTCATCGTCACTCTCCACTTCGTACTTGTAAACGCCCGGGTCGGCGTCGAACTCGTCAGCCGCATTGATATGAATTTGCGTTTTCCAGGCGTCGGGTGGAAGTGATCCATCTTTGAATTTCTCCAGCAATGCCTTCAGGCGCGGCCAATTGCCGCTCATCCGAGCGTTATGGTGGTTCAGGAAGTTCATCACGCGACCAACCTTGAATGTTCCACCTCGGAGTCGATCTTCAAGTTGCCGATTAACCAAGCGGTAGTCTTCAATCTGGCGTTGTAACTCGGCGTTCTCGTCTCGAAGAACTTGTTCTTGGCGGTTGTGCTCTTCTGTGGCACGGTTAAAATCACGATCACTTTCGGAGAGCCGACGTTGAGCCTGCTCCAAGATCTCAACCACTTGTTAGTTAAAAGCTTTCTCTAGAAGCACGAAGTCTCGACGTGCACAGCGAGCCTCGTCTGAAGAATTGCCTAATTCGAGCGTAGTCTGGGAGGTGATCAGCGTGCAAGTTACCAGAGAAACGCGATGCTTGTCTAGCATGCGCTTCAGGAGTGTGGACATCCCGAATACTCTGCGAGCCAGACCCTGAGGCTCGTACACCCGCAAGAGTGCTGCCAACTCACGTTGCGTTGGGATGCCCGTAATCATATCGCGGAAGTCGCTCGGGCTTAGCTCCACCGATGCATCCCGAGGCATCAACAGCTCACGTTGGATATCTTGGTCCTCACTAAGTAACTCCGACAGGTCGGACCTATCTTGGTCGCTCAGGTACTCAATCTCGACGAGATTGTCGAGGCCGCATAACCGGCGCGCAGAAGCACGGCGCCCAGACGATCGACGTCGAAGGCACACCGACGAATTGCGTGGTGGAGCAAGGCGAATAGCTTGGAGGCGATGTGATTTGAACGGGAGGAACTTGACCAGCTGCCGAACGAGTGGCGGCGATGACGAAATGAGCCTTGGCATCGGCTTGGTCCAATTCCGTGAGGAATGTAGACTTGGCCAGCCACGTTGACAGCAGGTTCTGCGCAGCGTTGCGCGCGTTGAAATAGCCAACCGCAGAAACACTAGGACGGTCTGAGTCAGAGATGGACCCACGCAATACGTCCACCACTTGAAGGCGCTTAGTAGAGGCGCCATTATCTTGAGCCGTCTCACCGCGCTCTTGAGCCGTCTCACCGAGATTTCCACCGAGATCTTGAGCCGTCTCACCGCGTGGACTGACGGGCGTGTCCATCAGTCGCTGGCGGGTCGTCATTGGATGCGTCGCCGCTTGGCGCGCTGATCCGAGAAGGACGGTGCAGTTGTGGGACGGCCCCTGGCGGAGTATGCGCCGGAGTGTGAGCGGGCGAAGGCGTCTGCGGAAGTTTGGAGTCTGCATTTGAAGGCATTTTGCCGAATGTCTGGAGCTTCGGTTGCGTTGTTGGCAGAGGCTGCCAGAACGAATAGGATACGACAGTAGGAATTTCTTGGATATTGCGGGGACGAAGAAAGGTCTCGAATTTTGGCAGTCTTTTGACAATTCTGCGCTTCGGGGTGCTCTTACGTGCAGGGCGTCTGCGTTCACGATGTCTGTCACTTCGGAGGCAATTCTCTCAGTGAAAGACCAGGGTGCAGAGGGGCGGTTGTGACGATGCAACCTGAAATTCAGGTGGCATCCGCAGCTGCCCTGGTTCGAGAGCCGGAGCTGGGAATAGGGAACGTGATAACATTCCCTTGGGTGGTGAACGGAGTATGCTCTGTGAACGTAAATCCCAGTTTCTGGTCACCCGAGCTGAGTGACCGTGCACCGTTGTTCCAGGAAGGCGAAGCTTGGAGGAACCCGAAAAGATGACCGATACTTTCGGACGGACCAGTAGAGATTGAGGGACTTACGTTTGAGGAGATATGGATCCCCGGGGTCCCTGGCCGCTGGACGTCCTGAATTGTGGGAGTGTGTCTCGGGATGACCGATACTTTTAGGTGGATCAGTAGAGATTGAGGGACTTACGAGAGGAGAAATGGAGCCCCGGGGTCCCTGGCCGCCGGACATCCTGAATTGCGGGAGTGTGTCCCGAATTGAGACATCACAAACAACCCGAATGGAAAACAGTTTCAGTTACCGTAACTACATACACCAAACCCAAATTCACGCCGCGAATGCCAAATCCGCTGGCAAACCATTACCTACAATTGTCAGCGCATAGTAATATAGATAATAGGAACAATCGATATTGAACGCAATGTACCTTTACATTGCGTTCAATAGCTAGGATGGTCAGTGTCGCTGGC